CCGCGGGGCCCCCCCGGGCCGCTTCGGCCGCTTGGGAATTTGCTCTGGCATCAGTTGGAGCAGGAGCAAACCCTCAAGCGAAAGCCCCGCTGCTGACTCACTCGCTCTGGCCGGGTTTGCTTTACCTGAGTAAGGAGAGGAGGCTGAGGCCCCTGGGAAGCAATGTAGAGGCGAATGTAGTGGTACAGGTCAGTCTGAATATTTTTTTTTTACTTTTTTAAAATTTTTTTTTCCCTGGAAAGCTAATGATGCCATTTACAATAGGGATGGATGCGGACGGTTCACCTCTCGGCCAGCCTCCCCTCGTGGGACACTGCGGTCAGGCTGGGATGCAGCCGGACGCGCGTTCCCAGTGCCCTCTCGCCCATGGAGTCACCTGTGGCTGAAGCCCCATCTCCCGATGCTCCCAAATTGTTTCAGGTTCTGCTCCCTCTCCTAACCCTTCCTGGCAGATTTTTAGGTCCTTTTGTGGAATTTGGAACCAATTTCCATTTTGTCAGGAATGAAGTGAACCGAAAGGCTAACGCTAGCACAGCAGACAGGCGTTCCTGTGCAACGCTAAGCGCAGCGTTAGAAAGAAGCTCCCCTGCAAGGACGCCCTGCTCAGGAATGGCAACGACCCGAGCCAGGGAGCACCAGGTAACCTGTCCGTGCTTCAGTCGGCGCGGCCGGGCAGTCTGCTCAGAGGTGAAACAGCTTTACAGGTAGAACGAGCAGTTCCAGAGTTATTTGCTTCACGTTTCGAAAGGAGTTAAAGTGTGTTCTTTGCCTATCCAGAGTGAGGCCCATATTGCTTATGGGAAGAGTGGTTTTGTTCCTAATGGCTTAGAAAAAAACAAAAGGTTTAGCTATACTTCAACAGCCATGTGAAAAAAAATCAAAACACTTAAAATCGATAACTTGTGCATCAGTTTTAGCGTGTGTGGATGTATGTGTGCGCATGTATACATACAGACACCCCATAATCATGTGTGTGCGTGTATATATACTCAGAGCTACTCAGGGGCTTGCGTGTGTGTATCAGAGATCCTGAAATTGCATATTGGGTGCAAATTTAATGCTGGTATGAAAGTTCTCTTTGGTTTCAGCAAGTAGTCTTTAAAGACAATACAATGGAAATACTAAAAAATGCGGCAATGTACTTTGAATTTCCCTGCATTTTTAAATTCTCAAGTTTTAAATAAATAAGGCTTTCTTTTCTATAGGTATGTTATAAAGCAGTGTTTTGCTGGAAAAAAACCTAAAACATTAGTTATCACTGTCCTTTATTAACCTTACACTAATGAGACTGCATTCATAAGATACTTTATATGTGAGCTTATTAATATTTCCATGTCAATTATGTCTCTGTGAGGATGGAACACTTAAAAAGAAAGCTGGCTAAAATTTAAGGTAAGCTAGAGACTCATGGATTAGATTACGTTTTCACAGACAGTTGCTCTGTCGGCCTTAAAATGGGTTTAACCTAGGAAAATGTGGAGTAATATTTGGTGCCAAAAACCTTGGGTTTATTTGACTTTATTTCAGTAAAGCGTTATTTCAGCTGTGTTCTAAACACTTACTGGAAATTAACTGTATACCCTGAACCTTGACTAGACCCTGTCCGCTTGGGAAAGAACTGGTGTTAAGAAGTTGCTTAACTTCAGTGCTGCTAGTATTTTGAGTGGGCTTCGTCCCAAAAACCAGTATCTGCTGTTGCTGATGGTGGTTGGACTCTAGTTTACCTTGAAGTTTCCTTTCTCTTTTCTTTTTTTTTTTTTTTAAAAAAAAAGGTGTAAGTAAGGTTACCTATTTCTAATCCTTGCATTGGGCCTGTAACTGCGTATTTGGTTACCTTGGAATTTGCTATACCTAGTAGAATTATAGAATTACTACAGTAGTTTGAAACACCAGTTAGAAATCTGACAGGCACACGTATGGTTTTCAAAGTCTGTCTTCCCCTTACACTAGAAGTTAATACGCAGATGTTGCACGCTTTTCTTTTTAGTTTGATCAGAGTAGGAATGGGATGACGTCTCTTCTACGGGTCTGTTAGCAACAGAGCATTTAAAGCTTTTCAGCTACAAATTTGAAACTATTATTTCATGCATTAACCTGATTAACAGATGAGCAAGAAAGAATGCAGAGGGCAAAAGCTCAGCCTGCTACACACAGATACAACGCCATGAAACATCAGGCTGTGTCTCGGTGTCATGGGAATTTTGCTATTGACTTCAGAGGCACCATGACTTGGCCTTCCAAAAGCACTACCGCGGCTCCTCTTGGAGCTCTTCCCACCATCATCACCTGATGTTGTACCACTGTTTTCAATAGGAATAGACCACCAGCCTTCAAAGCTGTTGCTATTCCTTTGCCTAGTAAAGTCAATAGGTAAAAAAATACCACTAATGTCAATGAGTATTGATCAGATGGTGAGTCCTGTGGTCTTACATTTCGCATCTCTCCTCGTTGTTGCATACAAAACGCCTCAGTCTCCTGTTTGCAGGCTAGATGGCAGAGCTGAGCTGTACTTATACGCAGCGCAGGGTTCGCAAAGAGCGCTGTTCTACGGACTGCCAGCAATATCAGCCTGGGAGTGTAATAAGGGGATGCAGGCACGATAGCTACCACACTATCTTACACATGGCTGGAACGGGCCCTTTTGTTGCTCCTGTTGAAGTCAGAGACAAAAAGGCTCACTGACATCAACGCAAGCAGCATCCCGTTATCAGTGCCTGTGCTCCGGCAGGGGCTGCAACCTCCTCGGATGACATTCTTTCTTGCCAATCATGGAAAGAAACAATAATGTGGTTTTACTAATTGCAAATAACAGTCTTGATTACAAGTTTTATGTGTTATACAGTTAGATTAGTTTATACCTATAACTCTACATAGTATTTTGTGTAAAAATAGCTTTGGAATATTAAAATCATTGCAATAAAACACCTGCAATATAATTATTAAATGTGTTCTTTGGTAGCTAGTTGATTTTTTTTTTATGGATGGAATAGTTTTCCTTTTTTAAATCTGAACATTCCTTAACAAACAAAGAGAATGCACTGGTTTAGGTACCATTCAAAATTTCTTTGCCCAGTTTGAACTTGTTTCCAGGCATTGCACCTGTGAAGTTCAAACCATGAAACAGCAAAAATCACACTACCATTCAAATGAATTCAGACGACTCCATGCTTTGTCGGTTGTGCCATGGCACAACCCTCTCTGAACACAAGCCCTGACTAGGTCCCTAACCACCGGCGTGTATGCAGTACGGAGACACTATACACCTTCATGGCAATTGCAGTGGAAATGAAGAGCCGTATCTGAAGAGATGTCTGTTCAATGACGAGAAATCACTATGCTCCAAACCACTAAACAGCCAAGTACGGTGAAGATGATCATGGGTGAAGGTGTAAGACCAGTGGCCTGTTTCTCTTCTCTTTGCGTTCCGTTTCTTTCCCTCCATTTCACTTTCTTCTTCCTCTTTATTTTTTGCAAGTCGTCGTCCTACGAAAGCGTGTGTCTTAGAACAAAGTCATAATGCAGGTGAAATAAGTCTTTGGTTTCTTTGGACTTATAAATAACATTTTTTTCAAATAGTTCTAAGTATAAACCTGCTATCTTGAGGTCCTGGTCTGTCTTTATTTATTTAATTATTTAATTATTTTTAAAGCTTTTCCACCGAGGCTTAGTTCGTGGTTATTCCTTCATGCTTTGGTACAAGTGCTTGATGAAGAAGATGAGTTGCCTGAATTGGAGCTGCCCTCGTCTTGCCACTTGTCCAGACTCCTCCTCCGTGCATTCATGAAAAAGTTGCTGACGGTGCTCAGCTCCAACCCGAGCTGCTGGGAAATGGTGATTTGTAATTCTTTGGATGGACGCTTATTTTCCTTGAATATTGCATGTAGAGTTCGACGCTGGACATCTGTGAAGACCAACCGAGGCTTTTTGGGTGTATTCCCTCTGTCCTTCCCGTGCTCTTGTTCTTTCCTCTTGCACGCTGCAACAAAGAGGAGGACGGTTAGAGAGGGCTGGCAGAGGGGTGCGTGGCCACACACTACAGGACAAGCTAGGCAAAAAAGACCGTTCCCTTTAGCTTCCAAACTTGGAAAGGACGCGTGACATTTAATTTTCTAACTTATTGTAAAGTATGAAAAATAGAAGGAACAGAGGTTAGAAAATACCTTTGTCGTCATCTGTTAAAACTCAGCAAAAGCTATTATTGAGAGCTTACATTTTGCTAACACCCGTTAGAGCTGGGAATTTAACTATGTAATATCCCTACGAGGTAGAGTGGAAATTCACTGAGCTCTAAAGTCAGCCTTGCCCACCTCTTTTACCTTCATGGTTTGTTGTCAGTCCAGTTCTGTAGATTTTTATTGGCTGAGAAATAAGGAACTGGTAGAAACCAGGACGCTACCACAGTCTTACAGGCCAGACAATCATGTATTCTGAATAAAATAAACCATGTTTTGACATGCAGAACAATGGTACAGTAAATCTTCCTTATAGAATTTTACCTTATTTCATCTATCATCCCTTCTTTCCCTTCCAGAACGTTATTCTGCTCTACATTATTAAAGGACATTTGCAATTTGAAATCTGCCTTGCAGACCACCTGGGAGGATCCGACGGGATGGGAGGATGGCTCCCAGATCCCTCAGCCACCCTTTGATTGTGCCAGCTCATCTTTGCTACCATTTCACTAGCCTGAAAGGTTTCCTTGGGAGGACAGATTGCTCTGTCTCAGTTTCAAAAGAGTCTGAAGTTGTCTGTTTCCCCTTTTTTCTCTAACAACGTCCTTTAATGCTGATTTAGAGATGTGTTTCTGAAGACAATATGAATGTTCTATCTCTGTGCCTGTCTAGTCCTGACATCCATGCAGATCTGTGCTGATTATATGAAGAGTCTCATGCAGTATCTCCACCTATTCCGTGATTATTAGAAAGAAAGTAGCAAATTACTTTACAAAGGTCCTTCCTACATCTTTTATTGCTACCGAGAGCCAGCGTTGGCATGCAGGTTTAATTGCTCGAGGGAGGTACAAAAATAGTCAACCACCTTTTGTACTTAAAGAAATGGCAACTGCACAGATCAGACAGCAAGACTCAGGAGACGCAAAGGCACCTTCTGCAGGCCCAGGCACGCAGGGACCGAGACACCGGCATCTCAGCCCCTCCAAGGAGAAGCTTTTGAAGAGCTCCCTAACAGTATATATTCCAACTCCGCATTCTTTCATAAGCAATGACACATAGATCAAATGGACTGGGAAGCCAAACTTATATCTTCTACAGTTATTTTTATCTGAAAACCTTTGAAGAGTGCTTTGAAGTTACATCCTGACCTCTACAATGCTGTGGAGCTTCTGGGCTGGAAACCAGGTTTCCTCATGCAAGCGACCCCCACTGAAGTCAAGCTGCTGAACTCACTGCGGGGATCGGTGCCTAAAGCAGTAACTCCGCATCCCCACTGAACGTTAATGTTGATAATTCAAGGGTTAAAAATACTTCTGCAAGAACAGTCTTTTACTGACAAATGTGAGGAATGAGGAGCACAGAAGATATCACCAGCACCTCAATCTTTTATACACGTCTAACCACCCGACGATCGGCAGTTCCCGTGAAAGCAGCCGCAGATGCTCGGCTCTGTAACAACCTCGGCCTCCAGCCCTGGCTCTGCCCCTGCTGACCGGCTCCCGTGGAAGAGGAGACAAACTGAACCCGGGTCACGTTTGCTGTGCCCAACACTTCATTTCTGCTCACGCTGCTTTACACTCCCCTTTTTCAAAGATCACACAAATTCCAGCTTTCGCCTACATACCCTGGCCAGACCATCGTTAGTCGCAAAATCCTAACGACACAGATAGAGTGACCCGAGTCAGCACTGTATGATGCTTCAGCAGGAATTGTCACATGGCAAAAAAAAAGTCACAGCAGTAGATACAAAGCCAGTTCAATCAGTGGTATAAACTTCTGGCGTTTCAATCACAACCTAGTGCATCAGTTCTCTGAAATCATAGAGAAGAACAAAAAAGCAACTGTCTATTGTGAAACTTTACTTGCTTAACACGTTGTCTTCCTGAGCTTGTGCTCATCTCCTGAAATATAATATTCCTGAATAAGTATTTCCTCACAAAATGTCCCCAGGGTTACATCATACCTTGTTCCTCAGCTTCAGTTGTATCAGAGACCTCATAATTGCTGCTAGTGATGTTACAGAGGGAAGAAAAAAGTGCTCGTTGCTGGGGAGAAAAACAAATCCTATCCAGTCTATGACGCAAATCAGCCAATTTTATTATTTTGCAAATAAAGCTTCATTTCAGTCAAGCCCATCAGAAAGCGTGCGCTGAGTTTCCCATGGTGCTCCCTGGAGAAGCTGGCAGCCGCCCCTTCATCCTGCAGACTGCTGGGGACTTTGTTTTTTGACAAACTGTTGTGCAGGTTTGTTGGTTTCCCAAGGTTTGGTCCGCACCCAGGTGAAGGTACGCTCTAGTTTAGGCTACGAAATAAGACAGCTCTTGTCCTCACATGCAAGCTGGAGTTCTTCTACTTTGAATGAAGGACTAACGATGTGTTGGTTCAGAGAAAGTGAGATATTGACACCGTTGCAATTTGGGACCTGATCTGAGACACGAAGACCCATGCACAGCAGATTCGATCCTCGCTGGACACGGCGCAGCCCCAAGAGGCGACGCCGGGGCAGCCGCTGCCCCAAGCAGCACAACGCAGCCGAGCCGAGCCTCGAGCCCGGCTCCCCTGCAGCGCCCTGTCTCTGCCTGGCATCGCTTGCAGAGCCGTGGGGGAGACCGGGAACACCTTCCTTTTCAGGCAATGCAAAAATTGTTTCCTTTTCAGCTCTACCCCTGTTAGCATTCACCAGAGGTAGAGCGAGGGCCAAAACTTTCCAGTAGGCTGAATGGTTCCAGGAGCGCTTTCAGGCAGTACTGCCAGGCCTCGTGTCGTGAGCAGCGAGGGTGGATACCACCTCTCATCTTCTGCCTTGTCTGGACTCAGGAATATTAATAGCACTTAAAAATAAATAATGGTGATAATGAAAAACCGTAATAGGGTTTCCTTACGATCGTTTTCCCTGCACTGGAGCCAATCAATTTTAATAATAAATTGTAGCTTCCAGCTTGCCAGAGAACAAATGTACACCACGGGATAAAATCAGCTCCAACGTGAGAGTCTGTCCAGAGCAGGCACAGAGCCCGGCCAGCTCACGCTGCCAGGGCTGACAGATTGGAGCCATCCAGCCCGGTGACAGCAGCCTGTGCTCAGCCCATGTCACGCTCAGACAAAGCAGCTGCGCCTGCCTGGGCCGCAGGCCCACCAAGGCGTGCGCCTCTCCCATGGCACCCCTGCTTGCACGCTGCCCTCGCACGCTGCCCTCGCACACTGCCTGCTACCCTCGCATGCTGCCTGCTGCCCTCGCACGCTGCCCTCGCACACTGCCTGCTGCCCTCGCACGCTGCCCTCACTCCCCACTGCGGACAGCCGTGCTCTTTGTCTCTGGACTGCCCCCGCTGAGCGATGCTCCTCGCGATGCCATTTGAAAAAGCCTGAAGAAAGTCTGCTTAAGATAAAAGCGAAGCAGAGGAGAAAGAAAGAGTCACTTTGACGCTGGCAACGCACGCACAGATGTGACAATGTAATACTATCAGTGCCAGAAGGAGCCTTATAAATCCACTGCTGAACTCTGGCCCCTTCCAGTCACTTCCATCTTCCTCTGCCCTGAGCAACAGACATTTTTGACGCTTGCAATTCTCCTGATACAGTCCATCAATCCATTTTTGTCTCCCTTTGTTCCTTCTAAGTCACCCGAGGGATTTGGCCGAGTTAACTTGCCAGACCTGCACCCCTCACTGAGGGCCGGCTGCCTGCGTGTGGTGCCGAACCGGGGTCTAACCGCTGCAGCTCCCCGCTGGTCGCTGCTCCTCTGTGTGGAGCTCAGCGGGATCAGCCCTGCTCTGCTGGAGGTGTGAGCAGGATCGTGTCCTCTATCAGAATGCACTAATTGCATCTTCAAGTCGAGACAGCGAAAAGGATATTTTGCCCACCTGTGATGTGAACTACGCGCTCTTCCACCAGTCTAAAAGTCAAGATTACAGTAAGCTCAGGTGTTAACCCCGACGCTTGATCTAGTCTTTCATCCCTAGAGGGTGGATTTCTTTTTAAAATCTAAGGAAAAAAAACCCTGATTACCATAAATCAATTTTCAGGAGCACTTGGTGCATACACATGCTCCGAGCTGCATCTGGCAGACACAAATTTTCCTTTCTGAAAACAAGAAGCAAAGAACGAAATTGGTAACGCTCTCAATAAATCTGCTTTCTGCTGGTTTGTTCTGGGCACATAATAAAATACCACCACAAGTTCTGCTGGCTGCTTGTCTGGAAAATTGGCACCAGAGCAGGGGGAACAACAACGGAAAGCCCCACGTGGGCAAACCGGCCCCAAGCCCTGTGGCTGGCTGTGAAGGCAGAGGACCGCGCTCGCCGCGAGAGGCATCGCACAGCTGGTGGCCTGCCACTCTGCCATCACTCAGCCAGCGCTCCCAGACATGGGCAGGAAAAGT